CGGGTGTCAGTCATGTAACATAACTGAAAGGCTTTGTGTAGAAGTATTGATTTCTCTGCAAACAAAACTGAACACACAAACGCGTACATTAGTCGATAGAAAACCAATTCATCCCGAGCGCTATCTAAGCAGTATTCGTGCGAAATTCTGCCGAAAGTCCGACCGAAATAGACAGAGGTGAACAAGTTCAAACTGTGATAACGAGCTCTCAGTTTGTAGGTGGAAACGATTGATAAACACCTCCTTGTTCTGGATGTCAACGAGTACATTCATGCACGCGGAGTTTCTGATCATTGGGACGACGATAGCCTGATTGTCGGTGGATTTACAGCTGGTGATCGGGGTAGGACGGATAAGATCAGTGAAAACGGTATACTTCCCCGATAATCACATTCATCCAGTGCGAGACTTCAAATACAACGACAGCTTGGATTGACACCCCCGCTGTCACTGAACTCCCTATCCGGACAGTATGCATTGCTTGTTTTGCCATTCTTACAGATTAAAGTATCAATCGACGGCAGGGTACAAGCGACAAACTCACACTGGGCTGTGAATTGCAGTGCAGATAGTGGTCATGTGACGCTGAACCAATCACGAATATCATCACGCACAGGTGCCAGAGAAGGAGACATTGTGCTCTCAAGGCAACGCAGATCAAACAGAGAGGTGAGAATGAGTTTCGGACTACCGTTTGTAAATTATGGTGATGAAGATAATGGAATTTCTAGCACCGTTGGTACGCTTCTACAAGCGAATGAAATGAACAATTAGTCAGATATTATATTCCACCTATGAGTGGGACCGTGTCCTGATTGATAGCATTGGCGCAACAGACAAAAGCGAATCTCAAGTAAATAAGATAACTGTTGCATTTTTGAGAACTAGCGTTGCAGGTTGAACAGTGATAGACTGTGTATTTGTGGACCTCTTCAGTGCGCATTAGTAAATAAGTGTGACTGCATAAGGAATAGGAATGAAGAAATTCCAGTAATTTTTGGGTGTTGATGAAAACAGCTCTGCTCGTAAATAAGGTCCCAATATCTAACAGCTTTGATGAGTAGGGTTACGTGTCGTGCCCCCAGATTGACAAAAATCCATTTCGACAAGCTTGTTTGACAATTCCTAACAATAATTGGGTCGCACAACTCTAGGATGAATGAGGCCCAACATAACGTTTATTCTTTCCATATTCATGAATTGCTATTCGGTCATAGTCTTCTGTTCGGATCATAGATGTTTCACTTAGTTCGCTCGGACTGTCATATTGCGGATCGATTATCCCATTACGAGTGTCAATCAGTACAACTGTTCTGTGTTGCAGTGATCATAAGCAGTAGGACGATCTTCATATTTTATTGCAAATTTCATATTTCTGCCTCCAAAGATATTTACATTTACATAGAAATTTGCGCTGCTCGAGATATCCGTATTTCGACGATGAATATTCAGTTCAGCTCGTTCGGATTTTCGGAGGCACCGGACACTGTTGATGATCAATTCTCGACAAGGTCACCGAAAGTACACACTGCCGACGAGTCCTAAACCGAACAAAAAGCAGTCCAATGCTATTTGTCGGTCATCGCAAAAATGCTCATCTCTTAGCAATGTGTAGAGCAAGTGGAAACTTAACGATCCGCATTTAAGCCAAATGTCATCACTCAGTTACATTGTGATAAAGGAATTCTTATGCAAACTTAACGATCCGCATTTAAGCCAAATGTCATCACTCAGTTACATTGTCATAAAGGAATTCTTATACAGGAAGCCGCGCCCTGATTGAAGAGTGCATTGAACAGTATGGTTGATTATGGGTCTCGAATTTCAAATGGAATCTTCCTTACTATGAGGTTTTATGTGTTTCATAGATGGTTCCATAGATAGACAGACCGGGAAAGATATCTGACCATGTCCAAAGAACACCCCATTTGTCTCGAGTTCTTTTCACATAAAAACCCAATATTTAACAACAAATATTATTCATGCTGTCTGCTATGGAATGAACGGTGATACGACAAGCGAATTCGTTCCCTTTCCCATGGTAATGCGTTTC